GATCCTCAGCACCACATACAAAAGATGTTGTGTCTGCCGAAAACTAAATAATAAATATTAAAAAATTCTCTATCTCTCTTCTCTCTCTTTAAAAAAAAAAGAAATGTATTCATTCATTCATTTATGCAACAAATACTTTTTAGGCACCTGGTATGTACCTTTATATCAGTACTATAGTTGGTAATGGGGTCCTTAGGATTTCAGTTCTAAGGAAGTTTCTATTTTCCCACATTAGTGTTGCCCTTTTTAAATATGCAACTAAATTTAATATCCATTTAATGTCCATTCTTGGTGACCACAAGGTGCCTATTGCCTATTCCTCAAGCCAGGCTTTAAGCTAAAGATCATTGTTTTCCTTCCTATTCTCTCAGGTTCTAATCTTTGTAAAACCTGAGTTCATGTCATGTTCCTTTCAGGGAGTATAATCCTAACTTTTAATGACCCCTGATCATTGGGTGCCTAACAAGAATGAAGCTGCCTAAACAAGTAGCAAGGATCTGTAGGTATGATGCTTTGTGTTGAAATCTAGTCCCATTATCCCAGAGAGTTTTTTTTTTTTTTTCTATCACCCATCCAGACAAACTGGAAAATTAATTGTTGCACTACCTTCTCATGAAGGTGGCAGTGACAAAGTTATAAGAAGGACCCTTCAACACACATTACTATTTGCCAAATCTAAAAGGGAAATGTAGCCTCTGCCTCAAAGTTCGGAAATAAGAAACATAGGAAAGGAGAAAGTAAGTTCATGATGACAGATTAATGGACCAGAGCAGGAAATAAAAGAGTGGTGGGCTATTTGTCTTGGAGACTAAGTTTGAGTTCTCAGAGGACAGGAACTGAGAAAATCAAATTTAAAAATCTGTGTTGCTAACACTGGCCTTTTGGTGAATGTCCTGAAGTTCGAAGACTCTAGAGCCAAACTTCTGATTTCAAATCCCAGCTCTACTACTCTCTAGCTGTGTGACTGTGCATAAGAACTTAATCCCTCTGTACTTCAGCACTCTCATCTCTAGAGTTTTCATTTATACAATGGGTTTGATTGAATGAAACCATACTGTGCTATGTTTGGGACTTTGTACATGTGAAGTGGTTAGAACTTTGCCTGGTACAAATTAAGAACACAGTATGTGCTATTTTTTAATATTTATTTTTTAGTTATGGTGGACACAATAACTTTTTATTTGCTGAGGATCAAACCTAGTGTCTCACGCATGCTAGGCAAGTGCTCTACCTCTGAGCCAAAGCCCCAGCCCCTGTGCTAATTATTATTGAAGAAATTTAAACAATATCTATCATGTCATCAACTGAAAGAAGTCAATTTCATTCACTCAACCAGTATTTATTGAATATATAGCAATGAACCCCTAGGTGCTTATGTGTATATGGGGGTGGGGTGGGGGGAGGTGGGCTGGAGAAAGAAGGAAGGGGAAGAGGCAGGAAACTTAAGGAAAAAGATAAGTAAAAATTATGTCATAATCATGAAAATTATTATCAATAAAAATTATGGATCATGACATGATCAAAAATTATTAATAATCATGAGAAAAACAAAGGAAAGAAGAAGAACAGAGATTTCTGTGGGAGGGGCAGGATGTTCTAGAGATAGGAAATAGTAAAGATCAAAGTCTTGAGGCTGAGGAATGCTTGGTGTGTTCTATAACAGTAAGGCTAGTAGGCTGGAACATGAGGCCAGAGGGATCCTGGTTGCAGGTAGGAGGTATATCATGCAGGCAGATAGCCATTGGAAGAACTTTGGCTGTTGTTTTAGGAGGCAAAATTGTCAGGAGTTTTTGAGAAGAGACATAATCTAATCTATGTTAAACAAACAAACAAAAAATCAACCCACTCATACTCTGTGAGTGTGTGTGTGTGTGTGTGTGTGTGTGTGTCTGTCTGTCTGTCTGTCTGTCTCTGTCTGTGTTAGGGATGGTATGGCAGGTGGATCAGGGGATATAGACAGATCAGATAGGAGACTGTTATTGAGAGATGATGATGGCTTGGACCAGGGCATTAGCAATGGGAGGGTAGTTGGAAGGAGTGGACAATCTAAGGATGTATTTTCAAAAGCAAAGTCAACAGAATTTGCTGATAAATTGGATGTAGATTGTGTAAAAGAGAAGGATCAGGAATTGGGAAGCTCTGTGAAGACAGAGATGTTTCTTTCTCTCTTTTCTTAAATTATTTTAGTTGCAGATGGACACAATATCTTTATTTATTTATTTTTATGTGGTGCTGAGGATCCAACCCAGTGCCTCATACATGCTAGGCAAGCACTCTGCCTCTGAGCTACAACACCAGCCCCAGATGTTTGTCTGTTATTCAAAGTTATACCCCTACGATCTAGACTCAATATAACATTGAGTGTCTGCTACTCAATATTTTTTAAAAGAATGGAAAGGGTGACTGGTTCCTACTATGCTTTTTTGAACTTAGTAAGTAGTAAATAGTGGATAAAACATCTGTAGACAAATGAAGTATTGTTGCAACCAGTTTTAGCAATCAAAGCAGTGAAACTTCTTTCAATCATTTCTACAACAATGGAAATTGACACTGCTGCACCCCTGGCCCAGTTGCCAATGACTAAGGATAAAAAAATAATTTTGATTCTTTCTGTAACAGAAGAATACTTAGTTATAAAAAATTCATTATAAACAAACAAACCCCTACAGGATATATACAGAAGAATAGACAGGCATAGTTTATTGGAGAAAAGCATAAGAAATGGGAGCCTTCTGGGGGTGGGGGTAGCTCAGAGATACTGTAAATATGCTAAGCATGGGTAAGGCCCTGGCTTCAATCCCCAGCAACCACTAAAACAAACAAACATTAAATAAACACAAACAAAACACCCCAAAATAAAAATAAAAACAAAAAAACTCCAATGAGTTGCAAAACACATGGATTTGATTTCTGTATTCTTGAAACATAATCAGTAAGATGAAAATAGTGGTATACAAAGGTTTCATAAGATGAATTATACACACATTTTAGGCTCTATGAATTGCTTTATTTGGTCATCTTGTAAATATTAAAAATCAAATATGATGCCACTGAGCCACATCCCAGTCCCTTTTATTTTTTATTTTGGGGCAGGGTCTTGATAAGTTACTTAGGGCTTCACTAAGTTGCTGAGCCTGGCTTTCAAGCTCAGGATCCTCCTGCCTCAGCTTCCAGAGTCTCTGGGATTACAGGTGTGCGCCACCGTGCCTGGGAAATATAATGTATTTTACACCAGTTTTTCCTACTAGTTTATTACATTGTCACTACTAATATATTGCAACATGTGACAGTTACACATTAATAGATAATTGACAAGCCAAAGTTATTCTCATTTCTTTTTTATGGGTTCTTTTTAGTTGTACATGACAGTAGAATTCATTTTGATATAAATATACAAGCATAGGATATGCTAATTTCCAATTCTCCAATATATACTTTAGAGTTTAAGGGCAATGGAATCTATTGATATCCTTGAGTGACACATAACAGAGCTCTCATTTTTGCTTGATGGTGATATACATAGGCTAGATGCCAAAACTTGCTTTTGGCAGTTTTCAGGGATGTTATAATAGTCCATTCTTGAGGAAGAAATTCAATGAAAGAATTTTCAGTTCGAGATACATGCATGGTTCTTGACTTGGTCATCTTATTGCACTGATTTCTTTAGGCTGCTTGGGTTGCTCTGCACTCTGCTCATTGCCCAATGCTGGGCACCAAGTAGGCTGGTTTTCCTCACCTAATTGTGCATCTGGCTAGGTTGTTCAGGTGACTAGATCTGTCTCTTTCCTTGGGTGTGTGTATGTTTGGGGTGGGGGAGGGTCTGTCTTCTACAGTGTGTGGGCAGGACAACTCTCCCCGCCACCACCCGGGCTCTTAAAGTCTATCCTTGTAAGTTTGGGAGCAGTAACAGCACTCCGTTGGTAGGAGGACCTGGGGAAATTTGGTGGGAGCTGAGTTTGCAAGCATGCAGTTCTTTATAAAAAAATAACCACTTTTATGGGAGTTATACGGGGCAAAAATGATTGGGAAACCTAATGTTGCCTCAGGCAATTCCACTACTCCTGGTTGCACACTTTCCAGTGGGTCACGGAGGCAGCTTCCCACTTGCTCAGAGTGCTGCAGCTCTGTGTCCCTACTCCTGTCTCCAGTATTCCAGGGCAAATGGGTATGCAACTCCTAGTTAAGGGCTGGTGAGCACTACGGGTCAGCTTGAGCCAAAAAGGAGAAGGATCTTCCTCTATGGGATCAGGCTTAAACTGGGAAGTTTTCCTATCTTGAATGCATGTGGGCACCAGGAGTTTGAGTTACAGCGTCTACAGGGTCTGTCACTGCAGCTACTTTGCGAAGCCTCTGAGTCAATGGACTGGATAAAAGGCCTCGCTGGGTACTCCACCCGTCGCTCCCGGCACCTTCTTTGGGGCAATCCCCCACCGCCCAGGCCGGTGTTTCCCTTTAACGCGCGTGCCCGTCAAGGTCCCGCGTCTCCTCCCCTCAAACCACCCGGTCAGCCTCGGTTTCCCCGACTTCTCCGTCCCTGACTTTCCTTTCTGGTGGGACGGCCCTAGCCCACGCCCACACTACCAGACCGGTGCGCGGGACTCAGCTGTCACTTTACTTTTTTCCGCGCTGCCACCCCGCCCCCTCGCTTGGCCCGCGGGGCAGCCCGCCTGTGCGCGCTCCCGCCCCCGCCCCCTCGCGGCCGCGCGCCGGCGGAGGAGGGGCGAAGGGGGGAGGGGGAGCGCGCGGCGCCGCACGGCCGACGTGGGGCTCGCGCTCTCGCGGTCTCTCCCGAGCGGGCGGGCGGGAGCGCGCACTCGAGGGCGCGCGCGCGGACGGGCGGGCGGCGGCGGCGGCTCCGGAGGTGGTGGATTCACTTTCCAGGACTCAGGGGCGGCCACAGCGGCAACCGTGGGCAGCAGCCTCGGGGGCCGGAGCTGGAACGGCCGGAGGTGGCGGCGGTGGCGCTGAGGGTGAGTCCGGGCGGGCACGAGCGCGGCGGGGACAGGCGTGGCCGGGCGGTCGGGTGCGTGGTGCGTGGGTCCGGCTTTCGGTGACTAGACGGTCTGTGAGGGACATCCCGTCCCCGGGCCTCCCCAGTCCTCCGCCCCTCTCGCACTTGGGCAGCCCTCCGTCCTCTGGCTTCGTCTCGAGTCCGCGACCTGCGCGGACACCCTTTCCTCAGGTATTCTCCCGGGCCGCGCCGGTGCCCCCGCCTCGGGCGTCCTCTCTCTCGCGGCCGTCCTCCCCACTTTCCCAACCTCCTCTCTACGCCTCAGGTCTCTGCTCACACGGCTCGCGCCCTAGTTCTCGCCTTCCCCGCTCCCCCGCGTGCCCCGTTCCCTGCGCCCCCTCCCGAGAGCCTCCTGCCCCCGTTTCTCGCCTTTTCTACCCCTCCCCCTCTTTCCCATCCTCCCCCCCCCCCTTCTGCCTCGTCCCTCCCTGCCCTTCTTCTACCCCCTTCCGTTCTCAGTTCCCCAAGCTTCTTCACCCTCTTAGCCCCTTCCCTCTCCCAGCCGCATCCTGGAACTAAGTCTTTGCAAAAGTACAGGATAAATGTCACGGTGCAAAGTGCCCGGGTTGATCCTTTGCGATTTTCCCTAATTGCATAATTGCTGCACATGGTGTCTCTCCGGGCGAGTGCAGGGTCTGCTTCCACTGTCGCTGCACCCGGTAGCCCGCCCACAGAAGACCTTGTGGGGTGTATTTATGTGTGCCCTGGCGTGGGGTGTGTGTTGTATTGGTCTTTTGTGATGCCTGGTGCTTGTCACAGTTTGGATCAGAAGCCCATTTTTCTCTGGATTCTTCTCTGCAGCCCCCACTGGCCTGATTTGAAACTGGATTCCCTCTGTTCTCCCCCCCCCCCCCCCTTTCCCTCTCTTCTCTCATAATGTTTTGATCTTTTTGCCCTTTTCCATTACTAATGAAGATAAAGCGTGGCTTCTTGTGCACCCCCCACCCTCCACCCCACGACCAACCAGAAATGTCCAATCCATCTTCCCTAAAGGAAATTAAGGCCGGTTTAGAAAGACATCATCCTGTGCTTGGTAGCTGCTAGACCCATTTACATGTTTTCAAGATTCATCTTTTTGTATTGTATATTCCCTTAGCCTCAACTCAAATATTTTTATTTAAAAGTATAAAAGGAAGTACTGGGACTTATCCTTATATTATCTTGTGGTTCCGAAAGATTTTAAACTCTTCTTAGTTTTAAATTCCTGATTTTTTGAAAAGTATGTTTCTGAATATGTGATTATTGAGTCTGGACCTGCGGAATCTAAATATTTGTCTTTCCTGAGATAGTTTGAATGCTACTTGGTTCTTTGGAGTTTCATATGTGGGCTGATGATGACAACTGAGTGTTTTCATAAAATGTCATGCCCTTTTCTTTCTCCCCTAGGACACAGTATATACTTCACCCCCAAATCCGGTAGTCTATTATTATTTCCTGAATAAATATATCTTTTTTTTTTTTTTTTTTTTTTTTTTTTTTTTGCTGTGCTAGGGATTGAACCCAGGCTTTGCACATGATAGGCAATAGGCAAGCACTCTACCAGTGAGCTATAAGCTCAGCCGACCCCCCACCTTATCTTTACAGTTAGGTTAAAAGCTGAATATTGATAAATATTGTGTATAAATGTAAATTATTTTCAATTGTATAAAAGTTTAAAAAGGTGAGTAGGAAGACTGGAAGGCACAGATGATAGTATGAAACGTTTTCCTGTTATAAAAGCTCCAATGAACCCTTGGTTTTGCAATTTTATCCTGTGATATGATCATAAGGCTTATTTATATAGTAATGTGGACTTAAGGAATGAATATCGTTGCTTTTATGTTATCAGTAATTATAGCCAAATCATTTCATTTTTATGAAACATGAATTTCATTTATTCTATGTTGCTAATGTAATTACAGCATAGAGTACCAGGCTAATACAAGCCTGGGTGATTTGTGTTGGAAGAAAGAATAATATTTAAATCTTAAATGTTATACTGTTTTAGGAAGATCTATCTTATTATTTTATGTTTAGAAACCAAGTTTTATTTTGAGTATGAAATAAAAGTATTTATTTGTGACTTTGAAACTATCACTGGAGAATATATCTGTGTTTATAACCCAGGAATTTATCTTCTCTATAGATTAGATGATTGGATCAACTTAGCTATTTAGGAATTAATTTTTTTAACTTTTTTGTTTTTAATTGTTGATGGAGCTTTATTTGATTAATTTTACCATTTCTATGTGGTGCTGAGAATCCCACACAGTGCCTCACACATGCTAGGCACGTGCTCTACCACTGAGCCACAACTCCAGTCCCTAGGAATTAATTTCAAAATGTTAATTTAGAAGATAATATTTGATAAGTTTTAATTCAGGAATTTTTATTCGTTTTTGTGTTAGAGAAACAAGACACCAACTTAATACATAAAACTAATTAAAATGATTCATAGCCTGGTATGGTGGCACATGTTTGTAATCCCAGATCCTCCAGAGGTTGAGGCAGGATGGTCAAAAATTTGAGGCCAACTTTGACAATTTAGTGAAACACTGTATTGAAATAAAATTGAAGGAAAGGGCTGGTGATGTTGCTTAGTGGAAGAATGTTTGCCTAGTTAGTGTAAGGCCCTGGATTCAATCCCCAGTACTGGGTCAGGGAAAAAAAAAAAAGATTTATAGACTACTTTTGCTTCAAAAAGATTAATTATGCCTGATTACTACAATAATTTTTCCCTTGCTTTTTCTATAATCAGGCATTTAAAAAAAAAAAAAAGCAGAAATTCCCCTTTTTTTTTTTTGTTTTGGTGCTGGGGATTGAACCCAGGGCCATGTGCATACAAGGCAAGCACTCTACCATCTGAGCTATATCCTCATATCCTCTTCCCCCCCCTTATTCTATTTGTTTGTTTTTGGATTTGTTTTTGGTGCTAGGGATTAAACCCAGGAGCAATCAACTACTGAGTCACATTCCCAGCCCTTTTTAGTTTTTATTTTGAGAAAGGGTTTCACTAATTTACCTAGGCTGGCTTTGAACTTCTGATCCTCCTGCTTGAGCCTCCTCCTGGTGAGCCTTAGTCTCTGGGATTATAGGTGTGTGCCACCATGCCAGGTTACTCTGATAGTTTGATAGTTTAAGGTATGAAAACTTTATTTCTAAAAGTTTTTATAGTGTTTTTCGGTGACTTCAGATGAATTTATCATTTGTTAGGTTAAGAATTGTATGAAATAGCCAAATGCAGTGGTGCATGCCTGCAATCCCAGCAGCTCTGAAGTCTGAGGCAGGCAGATCACAAATTCAAAGCCAGCCTTAAACAATTTAATGAGACCCTATCTCCAAATAAAAAAATACAAAGGGCTGGGGATGTGGTTCAGTGGGAAGTGCCCCTGAGTTCAATCCCTAGTACCAAAAAACAAAGAAAAAAAGGTATGTATGAGATAAAAAATGGAAGTACTTTTTAAAAATTGTGAAACTTTGGAAATCATGCCTCTGTTTGAGCATGCTTAATAATTATGTGGGCTTTTTTGTGTGTGTGCTGGGGAAGGAACCCAGTTCCATATGCATGTTAGGCCAGTGCTTTATCACTGAGCTACATCCCCAACCCTTTAACTTAATAACTCCATAGAGAGCCTAGTTTTTACTTTAATTTTTTTCTGATTTTTTGGAGTAATTTCTGAAATTTTGATTTTAGATTATGGGCATTACATCATTGAGTAATTTTTGATGTAATTATATAATCATGACATTATTAAATAGTATGTAAATGCACATAAGAATATTGAGAAGAATGTGTAGCTTTATAACATGTGACATCTAAGCATAGTTTATTAAATTGTAGTTTTTTAAACTAAAGCTTCAGCTTCAGCATAAGAGAACTTTTGGATTTTCATGTATTTGTCATATAATGGATTACCTCTGGTTTAAAATGTATGAAATGATTTTTCATGTCACATTTCTTAAAATACTGTTGGCAGCATTTTTCTAGATCTGAATACCATTCTCTAAGAATTGTTCTCTTTCTCACTCCCATGCGCATCTGCTTTAACATGCTATTGTGTACATTCTTATAAGGTTTTGAGTTTTTGGGGTGTGTGTGTGTGTGTGTATGTGTGTGTGTAAGAGAGAGAAATACATACACACATATATCTCCCTACCCCCTCACTGAGGATTGAGTCCAGGGCCTCAAGCATGATAGGCAAGTGTTCATCCACTGAGTTACATCCTCATCCCTAAACTTTTGATATATTTTAACTGAGAGAAATAAACTGAAAAAAACAAAGAACCAATCTTAAGTCTAAAAATGATAATTTAAAGTGAAATAAAAATGAAAAGAAGGGCAAGAAATATATTTGGACTTTTAGAGCTAGACATGAAACATACTGATATAAAATTTCAGTATTCTATTAAGTGACTTTAGTGCTCATAAAAGATGTCATAGCTATGGAGACTGATGCTCTCCATTTACAGAACAGGTAGAAAAGTAGATTTCCTGTCAGTGTGTTTCAGATCTGTTTGGGCAGACCTTTTTTTGTTTGACATAGTGGAAGGGAGCTGTAAGGGTTGAAGGTGGTGGTGGTGGTGGTGGTGGTGATTGTGTGTGTGTGGTGTGTGTGGTGTCTCTGTAAAGGCATTTGATATTTTCTGTTGACTTTTAACCTCTCTTTGCTTCCTGGTTTTTCCAATCTTTTGCAGTCCTTTTTAGTTTGTCTTACTATAAAAATTACAATCCATGAAAGGTCTCTATTATAAAATCTCCTTGGTTTTGAGCAAGCTGCAAGTTAAATATTTGATGATGAATGTTCATCAGTGTCAACTAGCTGTCCATTTGGATTAGGTATAGTAATAAACTGTGCTTTATTTGAGGTTATCTTTCTTTTACCCACTCTTATTCTTGATCATGTCAGGAACGGTTTTATTTCAAGTCTTAATTTGATTAAGAGTAATCAGAAGTATCTTTTTCAAAAGGAATTTGTTGACTGTATTTTTGAGGGAATGTTTTGTGAAAAAACAAAAAATTCTTCAGTGTCTCAATACAATTCTTAGCCCTTATGAAACAGTTGACTAGTATTTGGCTGGATGAGTGTTGATACCATCATATGTTTCAGTATTTATTTAGAATCATGCAAGCCTCTGTGTTCTATTAACACAGAGATTACTTAACAATTTACTAGTTTAGAGAATTTTAACTTTAGCTCAACCCTGAGGATGTAGTGATTTGATACGGATGTGGAAGTGTCCTCCCCATTTCTCTGTTCCTGTGGCTATTTATACTAATTGCTGTTATGGCACTTAGCAAGTTGGTTTACTTACTAGTTCATATTTCTTACAAGTGGGTACAAAGGTTTAGCACAGTGCCTGGAAGAGATTAGGCCCTCAACCCTTCCCCTCTTCTTTTTCCTTTTAACATCTCAATTGATAAATAATTCACATACTGTCAGATACACCCCACCATTTTTTTTTGTGTGTGTGTGTGCTGGGAATTGGAACCCTGGGCCTTTTGCATGCTAAACATTCTCTCTACTGAGTTACACCTCCAGCTCCAAATTTACCCTTTTAAAATGTATAACTGTTTGGTTTTTAGACTATTTATAGAGTTGTGCACTATCACCATTAAGAACATTTTTATCATCCCCAAAGGAAACTTCATAGCCATTATCAGTGGTTCTCCTTTCTTTTCTCATTCCTAGTCTCTTTGTATGTCTCTATGGATTTACCTATTCTGGACATTTCATATAAATGGAATTGTACAGTTTGTGGTCCTTTGTGACTAGCTTCTGTCACTTGGTATAGTGATTCAGGATTCATCCTTGTAGCATATAGATGCTATACTTAATTCCTTTTTATGGCTGAGTAATATTCTATTAGGTAGACATACCACTTTTTGACTATCCATTCGTAATTAGTGTACATTTGAATTACTTCTTGGTGTCTATTGTGAGTAATATTGCTATGAATATTTTTGTGTAAATTTTGCATGAATGGATGAAGGAAAAGTTTTGGCAACTCCCAGAGCTGTTTTGTAAACCATTTCTATTTTATAAAACTACTGAGTTTTACTTGTTCTGTTTTTAGACTCACTTTCTCTCCATTCTGGAGGTACCCACAGCTGATTAAATGATTTTTGATTCTTGAATCTAGAATCTAAAATGTCCACGGAGGCACAGAGAGTTGATGACAGTCCAAGCACTAGTGGAGGAAGTTCTGATGGAGACCAACGTGAAAGTGTTCAGCAAGAACCAGAAAGAGAGCAAGTTCAGCCCAAGAAAAAGGAGGGAAAAATATCCAGCAAAACAGCTGCTAAATTGTCAACTAGTGCGAAAAGGTACCTGAATTTTTTTTAACTGTTTTAATTTCTGGTATCAATTTATAAAGTCTGTTTTTGAAAAATGCATTTCATTCCCTCCGGGTTGTGGGCCATGAAACTCATGGATTTTTCTTTTGCATTCGAGATTATATTTTTTACATGGTTTCAGTTGTGGATAAATTTTTAAAGTTTGTTAAACAGCAAACAGCATGACATTTATAAAATACATATTCATAGTGTGTTTATGTGTACTTATATCTTGTTAGGTCATGTGTGTAAAATATGATGGTTTAATTTATAACCAAAAAATACTGTTTTTTTTTTTTTTAAATTTTCCTGTTCAGTAATACAGAATAAAGATTGAGAATCTATTGAGCTGGGTACGGTGGTGCTCACCTTAATCCCAGCAGCTCAGGAAGCTGAAATAGGAGGATCTCAAGTTCAAGGCCAGCCTCAGCAATTTAGCCAGGCCCTAAACAATTTAGTGAGACCTTATCTCAAAATAAAAAGTAAAATAAAGTCTGGGAATGTGTTTTCTACTATACTTTGTTGGTAAAATCAGAAATGTGTGAATTGAACAACAAATTCTTGGTTTCATTACATTAGTCAGTGAGTCAGTCTTGATACGGATTTTCTTTTCCCCTAGAGAATAGATTTGGAAAGTAAAGTATTTGAATGATCTCTATTGTCACTTTAATCTTTTATGATGATTGGCATGTTGTTGGACTTAGGGGAATCTGCTTTGATACTGTTAGAATATAGAGCCTCTTGGAAAACAATTTGAAAGTTAAATTTAGTAGAGTCTTACCTGATTTTGTAATTTTGTGTTTTTACTTTGTTTTAATACCTTTTTCATAGCATATAGGGAGTGTGAATAAAAGTAGTATATAGATGTTAATTTAGCTTTCCATAACATGTAACTTTTAGGTCTATTAATGTCTGAATATTGAATAATAGTTTTATTTGATATTGTATAATGGAGATTAGGGAAAACTCCTTTTCCAAAGATCAAAGACCTTGTTTCCTTTGGTTTAGTCAATCTACAGGGTTGGGAAGAATCTTTTCAGGTCCCCCTTGTGAGAGATGGAGTGATCGTGAGTAGTCAGCAAATCTATTCCGAAGGACTAAAGTAATTCAGTTTCTTCTTCCCAGGGCTGTGTTGCTGATCCCTGACCTGTTGGAGGAATTATGTGAAAGTCAGATAGCCTGAACATTAAGCCTTTAAACCTCCATACTGGAACATGATAGGGTGGGAAAAGGTTCAGTTTGTTTTTACTATCACAACACACGTCCAGGGGAATTCAGCTGTCTGATTCTTCTACTGCCTGGTCACAATGCAAAATGATCTACTATTAGGAAATGAGGGGTCAGAGGCTAGAGTGGATAAGAAAGGTGAGCAAAGGAGAAAAATATGACTTGGGTGAAAGAAAGGAGGATATTCAAATAGAGATTGTACAGCTTCATGTAGTTGAGGACACCGTATGCAGTCCTCAGCTTCTGATGCAGGTTTTCACAAGCCTCTTCAGTTTTTCAGAAAAGGGGAAGAGTGAGCAGGCCAGGTTTGTGGGGAGTAAAGTCCTGATGGGCCTGTGCTTTGTTCCCCTGTGGCTGCTTATTAACAAAGATCTCTCTTTTCTCTAACTGGAAGCATTACTACAAATACCTTAGTCATTTTTTGGGGGGTGATGTATCAAAGACCAAATTCTGCTTACAAATGAGGGTGTATTGTTTAATGTGTGAATGCATTTTTTAAATACATGGGTCATCTTTTATTTCATTTTAGTATATTCAAAATGCAGGTTATATATTCAAACCCAGTGATAGATTTCATGAGGTAAATATGTATAGAGAAGATATTTTCTCCTTTAAATAGGGGATTAAAAACCTATTTTAGAGATAGTGTGTATGAAGAGTCCAGAATAGTACTCAGTTGGTACTCAGTAGCAAACAGTGTGTTACATTTGTGAAGGTAAGAAGTATCTTACACGTTGCTTCTTGGCTGAAAAAAATCCCTCCACTGACAGATTCATTCTTGTGAACCTGTGATTTTCAAGTTCTGGTTCATGGTTTTCCTCTGTAAGGTCTTCAGGTAGCTTATATGTGTCAGTATATGAAGTGACTTAGTCTTTAATTCATTTTTTTTTTTTTTTTTGATTTTTTTATTTTTTTTATTTTTAAATTTTTTATTGTTGGCTGTTCAAAACATTACATAGTTCTTGATATATCATATTTCACAATTTGATTCAAGTGGGTTATGAGCTCCCATTTTTACCCCATATACAGATTGCAGAATCACATCAGTTACACATCCATTGATTTACATATTGCCATACTAGTGTCTGTTGTATTCTGCTGTCTTTCCTATCCTCTACTATCCCCCCTCCCCTCCCCTCCCCTCCCCTCTTCTCTCTGTCTGCCCCCTCTACTGACATTCGTTTGTCCCCCTTGTATTATTTTTCCCCTTCCCCTCACTTCCTCTTGTATGTACTTTTGTATAACTCTGAGGGTCTCCTTCCATTTCCATGCATTTTCCCTTCTCTCTCCCTTTCCCTCCCACCTCTCATCCCTGTTTAATGTTAATCTTCTTCTCATGCTCTTCGACCCTACTCTGTTCTTAGTTACTCTCCTTATATCAAAGAAGACATTTGACATTTGTTTTTTAGGGATTGGCTAGCTTCACTTAGCATAATCTGCTCTAATGCCATCCATTTCCCTGTAAATTCTATGATTTTGTCATTTTTTAATGCAGAGTAATACTCCATTGTGTATAAATGCCACATTTTTTTTATCCATTCATCCATTGAAGGGCCTCTAGGTTGGTTCCACAGTCTTGCTATTGTGAATTGTGCTGCTATGAACATCGATGTAGCAGTGTCCCTGTAGCATGCTCTTTTTAGGTCTTTAGGGAATAGACCGAGAAGGGGAATAGCTGGGTCAAATGGTGGCTCCATTCCCAGCTTTCCAAGAAATCTCCATACTGCTTTCCAAATTGGCTGCACCAATTTGCAGTCCCACCAGCAATGTACAAGTGTACCCTTTTCCCCACATCCTCGCCAGCACTTGTTGTTGTTTGACTTCATAATGGCTGCCAATCTAACTGGAGTGAGATGGTATCTTAGGGTGGTTTTGATTTGCATTTCTCTGACTGCTAGAGATGGTGAGCATTTTTTCATGTACTTGTTGATTGACTGTATGTCCTCCTCTGAGAAGTGTCTGTTCAGGTCCTTGGCCCATTTGTTGATTGGGTTGTTTGTTCTCTTATTGTCTAATTTTTTGAGCTCTTTGTATACTCTGGATATTAGGGCTCTATCTGAAGTGTGAGGAGTAAAGATTTGTTCCCAGGATGTAGGCTCTCTATTTACCTCTCTTATTGTATCTTTTGCTGAGAAAAAACTTTTTAGTTTGAGTAAGTCCCATTTGTTGATTCTAGTTATTAACTTTTGTGCTATGGGTGTCCTATTGAGGAATTTGGAGCCCGACCCCACCGACTGTAGATCGTAGCCAACTTTTTCTTCTATCAGACGGCGCGTCTCTGATTTGATATCAAGCTCCTTGATCCATTTTGAATTCACTTTTGTGCATGGCGAGAGAAAGGGATTCAGTTTCATTTTGTTGCATATGGATTTCCAGTTTTCCCAGCACCATTTGTTGAAGATGCTATCCTTCCTCCATTGCATGCTTTTAGCCCCTTTATCAAATATAAGATAGTTGTAGTTTTGTGGATTGGTTTCTGTGTCCTCTATTCTGTACCATTGGTCCACCCGCCTGTTTTGGTACCAGTACCATGCTGTTTTTGTTACTATTGCTCTGTAATATAGTTTGAAGTCTGGTATCGCTATACCGCCTGATTCACACTTCCTGCTTAGCATTGTTTTTGCTATTCTGGGTCTTTTATTTTTCCATATGAATTTCATGATTGCTTTCTCTATTTCTACAAGAAATGCCGTTGGGATTTTGATTGGCATTGCATTAAACCTATAGAGAACTTTTGGTAATATCGCCATTTTGATGATGTTAGTTCTGCCTATCCATGAACAGGGTATATTTTTCCATCTTCTAAGATCTTCTTCTATTTCTCTCTTTAGGGTTCTGTAGTTTTCATTGTATAAGTCTTTCACCTCTTTTGTTAGGTTGATTCCCAAGTATTTTATTTTTTTTTGAAGATATTGTGAATGGAGTGGTTGTCCTCATTTCCATTTCAGAGGATTTGTCGCTGATATACAGGAATGCCTTTGATTTATGCATGTTGATTTTATATCCTGCCACTTTGCTGAATTCATTTATTAGCTCTAATAGTTTCTTTGTAGACCCTTTTGGGTCTGCTAGGTATAGAATCATGTCATCTGCAAATAGTGATAATTTAAGTTCTTCTTTTCCTATTTTGATGCCTTTAATTTCTTTCGTCTGTCTAATTGCTCTGGCCAGTGTTTCGAGAACTATGTTGAACAGAAGTGGTGAGAGAGGGCATCCCTGTCTTGTTCCAGATTTTAGAGGGATCATTTTAAATATAAAAAGACTGCTTTACTGCAAAACTTTTTAGTTAAAAAAAGCTTAATTATCTTCATTATCTTCCCCTTTGTTAACCTTATTCTAATTCAGTTAATAGTAAAGTTCTGAGAACTTAGAAAAAACTTGAGAATCATGAGGACAAGGGACCCACATCTTTTAAATTCACCATTATATCCATAGTACCTAGCATAATAGATTACAGTATTTATTGCTGGTTGCCTTAGAAGCCTGAGCTTACTATAGGGATTAGATTTTCTATGGTTATTAGGATTTCAGTTAGGATTCAAAGTTGGAGGTAGTTTCAAAATAAAATTTTAATTTATACTTTTTTATTTTTAAAATTTATCTATTTTTGGTACTGGGGATGGAACCCAGGGGCAGTTTACCACTGAGCTGCATCCCCCGTCATATACTTTTTTAAATTGATAATTGATTTTTATTCAAATGAGAATTTTTTCCTAAATAGTGTTCTGTGAGGTAATCAGTAGCAGCGAAGAGCTTGAACTCAA